AAAAAAGTTTTGGAGTAACTGGTGCTTAATGTTAGAAGTTTTGCAAACAGATCAATCACCACTTTTGTGGAAATAAAACCCCAAGAAAGAAAGAAGGAAAGGAAAAGGAAGAGGAAAAGAAAAAATAAAAGAAAAAGAGAAGAAGAGAAAGGAAGAAAGAAAGAAAGAAAGAAAAGAAAGAAAGAAAACCTTGCCCAAACCCCTTCATCTGAATACATTCAAAAAACATTTGATTCTGATTAAAAGATATTTTTCATTGGTTGAGGTTTAAACAAAGCTCAGCAAATATTTATCTATTTCCCCACTCATTTTAGCAGCACTATGGTGCATTATTCTACAGTACAACTTTTTAAAGGATAAAGCACTCCCTCCTATATCTAAAAAAATCAATAGAATCAGCATTTCATAAAAAAGGGCAGTTGTGCTCTGTTTTTTTACAGTTGTCATCCAGCACCTAAGAGCTAACTGATTTTTTTTTTTTTCTGACAGGAGATTTTTTTTTTTAAAGCCAAGTACTGAGTGGCATTTGTAAAACAGCATAATAGAGATAAGATTTCACAGTTCATTTTTGCATCATTTATTTTAAGGACACTTACATAAACAATTACCAGCTTCTGAAAGCTGAAAGTAAAATGAGCTATTTAGTGAACTATTTAATTTAATTTTTGTGAAGGACAACACTTCTGCTAAGCCTCTGAGTCTGAATAAATAAAAACAGGAAAAAATCCCTCAGATTATAGCCTGGGCAGTGTGAGAAATAGAGAGATCTCAGTTTCATTCTAACTACTGATTATTGTCATTAAAGCAGATGTTCTTCACAACCCTGACCAAACAACTCTGTTCTGTGGTCAGAAGCACAGTCTCACTCGTGATCAAGGTGTGCACTTACATTTATAACTTAAATTTATGAACTTAAAAACACTCACCTCTTCTGTGGTAATTTACTTTGCATGCACAAATGTGTATATTTGCTGTATACTTCTTTTTCCCCCTGTCTGCACATCAGCTTTAAAAAATTATCTTCACAACTGGAATTTGAAAAGTATCAAATATATCAGAATTCTAAATGATGTAAGATGAACTTGCTGATGCCAGCAGTTGAACACTAATGCCTACCGATATCAGCTGACAGGACACTAATTACTAGTTACTGGAGATGATTGCTTGGCAAAGGATCTATTCAGTGAGTTATGATTTTGAAAAAATTATAAAGCACAGGCCTGATCTGTGAAAAGATACGCGGTATGAAAATACAGCATACGTTCTCAAGATGATTATCATGACAGAGATCTGTCTAATTAGGAAGAAACTATTTTAATGCTAAGATATGAAAGAGCCCAGCTGGGAGAGGAATTTAGAGGAAGACACAGAAACATGACTGTTAAGCTGACAGCAAGTGCAGCCTAAGCATGTTCCAATGACAGTTTCTAAAAAAAAATTTCATCTCAGCATTTAATCAATAGTGGTTTCAGAACAAGTAGAGCCTCACGGATAATCTAGCTAGTCATATAAGTGGGAGGAGCTCCCTAAATAATACAGAAAATAAGTCTTTGCAGAGCAACATAGCACTTCCCTTTGGTCAGCTGAGCTAGGGGGTTATCCAGTAGATGGGCAACATGAAAAATATCCCTGTGAGGATAAATAGGAATCCCACTCTATTAGAAACCACACTTTAGGTCCTGGCACTGCCAATCGGGTTGGAAACTGCAATCGTTGTAGCAGCAAGTTTCAAACCATCCTGGGCAACAGATTAACCTTCAGAGTGGCCACCTGGGTGGAAACATTTCTGAAAGGTCATACTCTAATTAAATGTTTGTCCTAGTTAGGACAACTGAGACCAGTTCATCAGGGTATGGGTGTAACCCAAAACTGTGTATTCTATAGCCTTCCATGCCATTTCCCAGAAACTGTTATCAATGAACCATTTACACCCTCTGCCCATAGAGCCTGACTCCTCAGGCTATAAACTAGGTGTTAAGAGGCCTGTGAGATAGGAGGATGCTCCTGTCCTCACACCCTTTGTGGAACTCCCCGCCCTGAGGGAAGTGCTGAGCATTCCTGCCTGAACTGCAGGATATATAATCTTGGAGTCTTGGAACATTTTTAACCACTCTGTGGGATCCAGAGAAGGACTGCGGCTCATCGCTCTCAAACAGACTTGGATCACCACCCTATACTGGACTCCAATCACCACTTTGACCAGACTGCAACAGCTCTCCCCCCAGCATCTCACTGCAATCACCACTTTTGACTAGACTGCAACAGCTCTCCCACCAGCAGGTTCTTCCCCTCTCCCTTTACTTTGGACTCAAGCGGGGCCCAAGGAACACCACGTTGTTCATGCCCCAGGGTACTGGGTTATACATTTGGGTTTTGTGGGTTAAGACCAATTGTTTGTTTGTATGATTGTACTTACTGTATTATTTTAGTAAATTGTTATTCTGACTTATAATCTCTCCTTTGAGTTGAGTTCATTTCCCCTGCTGGTTAACTCTTAAACCAGTACAATGTTTTATGTCTAAATCTATGGATGACATGGTGACACAGGCACCTGCTGGAAGGCGAGCCTAGAGGCAATGTCTTCACTGAATAACTTTGAAACCCAGCTAACACACCTTTTGGGTCTGCAAGAAGCAGCTTTCTTACATATTGGAAAGAGTTTCAGAAGATTTCTGCTGAAGGTTCTCTTGGAATGAGCAAATCAGATGTGCTTCAGTTACTACCACAAGCACTTAAATACATCCATAGTCACAAAAAGAATAATAATGTCATTTGGAGAGCAGTTAAAGCAAAGCCGCATAGTTGAGGGTTGATTGAAAACAAAAAACCCCACAAGCTCCAGGAATGAATGTATCTGTGAAATCCAACTACAGCATGGCAAAAATTCTCATGACAGCTGCGGTGGCCACAAGCTACGGCTGTCAGAACATCCAGAGCTGTAGGAATTCTTCAAGGGATGAACCGACTCTGGAGCAAAAGATGTTGCTCTAAATAGTTAAGAAAAAAATCATAAAGGCTGCAGAGGAACATCAGAACAATAAAGGAAAGAACGGGAAGCAACAAAGAAAATCAGAAAGCAAGTTCAAATTGCAAAAGGTGGCGATTTAAGGCATTGCAGGAAGAGGAGTGATCGCTATGTGTAAACACAAACAAACCCAAAACACACTCTAAACACACTTTCCAGCTTGTACATTTCAATTTGTAGAACATGGGGAATCCAAATCAGAATTTTTACAAAATTTTCCCAGTTGTGAACACCACCGAAAGCTCCAATTCAGCAGATATTATAGCAGGACAGGCACGTGGATTGAGATATACACACACACACCTGAGTACTCTGCTGAGCGAGGGCTGGAAAAATATGGGGAAGGAATGCAAAATGTGTACTTGTTATCTCCTGTTCTAATTACACATAGGTCACAACAAGAACGTTAAAAAAAAAGTGAATGCCATAAATGAGCACTGTTACCGACGCACTGTCCTGTCAGATTAGTGTTATTGAAATACATTCTAGCTTAGGAAGAATTCATATAGTTAATCCTGATATGCCACAGTATGTCTTCCTGTTAAGTTGAAAATCTAGTTTTGAAGCTAGCAGCTGTAGGAGATATGCACGGAGAGATCTAGCAGAGAGCTTGAAGGGGGAAAGGAAAATCACTCAGGCAAAGGCCCCATCTCAGCCTTTGATCTGTTGCACTGATCTCAAGAGAAAACTGGGTTGTAATGGAGGAGGCAGGGGAGTGGAGAGGATAGAATGAGAAGAAAGGCACTTGGAAAAATCCCAGAGTGATGATTCTGGTGGTTCCTTGCAGCTTTCATGAGAAATACACATGAAGGAACTTAAATTCCTTTAGCCATTCTTATACGGAGTAGCCCGGTGCTTCTCACCAATGACTGCCCCATTTCAATGCAGCCTGAATTCACAGGGCTAAATTCCCCATCAATAAAATTAAATGCCCAACTTTGGTGATGGGGAAGTAGTCAAGGGATTTTTTAATTTTTTTTTTCCCTCCAAGGCAATTCCTGTTTCCATGCCAGCCATTTATAAGAATTTCAGAGTGAACATGATCATGTTCCTTCATGTGGGAAACTGATGCTTGTTCTGCGATTCTTGGCATAACCATTCAAGTTCAATATTCAAATGGGAACATTTGTTTTTAAAGTTCTTAAATTTCAGGGAAACAGAAATAAAGGGTAATTTTCCCATAGTGGTAATTTTTTGTAAGACAGTATAAATTCAGTCTTCAAGAGAAATATGGTATTTTCCTCCCTGTGCCAATGTGCTGACTGACAACAGCGTTGTTTCATTGAAACTGCTAGAGCTTACAATCTACAAATACACATCTATATCACTTGCATTTACAAACCTTTATTTAAGCCTATTATTTAAATCACTGAGGTTGTAGTCTCGCAATGAGCTTAAAACCACCAAAATCAAAGCGCTTGTGCAATCTTTAGTTGGCTTCCTTGCACAATCCACAGTATGATGAAGTCTTCAAATACACCCTTACACACTATTTTTCCACAGGATGTTTGCATCATTCTGTGCACTGAACTGTCAGTGCTCACCAGTGAGCAGCTATCTAATACATTTTTTTCCTTTTAGCTCCACGTATCACCTCATATCTATTTACTAAATCAAACCCTGTTCACAGACATTCATTTCCTCAAAATCACCACCACCACTGCTCCAGAGTGTTTAACATGTACCAACAGACTGATTTTCACAATTAATTGCAAGTGAGAAGACAGTGCTCTTACATTAGAGAGTGGAAACTCGGAACAAAGGAATTAAGCTTAAAAAGTTTTGCTAAAATGCCTCATTTGAGTTGATTTTTTTGAAAGACTTAAGAGCTACCCACATCAAATTCAGTGGAATCTGTAGGTACTTAGCATTTCTGCTAGGCATAACCCTCTTCTCAAATCAGTTACCTGGAAAACAGGGAACTCAATTAACAATCATCTTCAAGAAGCAGTTTGCATGAACAGAGCAGCATCACTTAAGACAGCTCAAACATTCATTTAATCTTGAACACATACAGTTCAGTGAATTACAGGCAAAACCAGAAATTAGACCTTACAGGAAAGAAAGAAAATATTACATGCTGGTTTTCAGTAATGTTTTAAAAGAAATCTTTTTGTCCCACTTTTTCTGTAGACACACCTTTCAAACAGCCTTTGTTGCAGCAAAGTCAAAACACGCTGGGTTTAAGAAAGCACTGCTCAAGGAAAGTTTACCTGAAGCCAGAAAATGCTGAAGAGATAAAACATTAGAATGACCTTAAAACCCTGAAAGGATACAGAATAGATCCCTGGTCATGCTTGGTCATATTAACCAAAATACAAACCCCAGTAATTACTAGCTACATTAAAAACCAAGCCTATGTTCAGGCTATTTCCAGAGTCACTGAAGTTACTGGACAACATTCATCAGAAACGTAGGACACCTCCCATCTTAGCTCAGGTTTGCAGCTAACTAATGGTTTACAGCAAACAACAGCTGATTAGATTCCCATTAGACAGGGAAAAAATCCTTCTCATAGTGAGGCTTTAAATAGATTACTTATGGAGGCCCTTGATTCTCCATCACTGAAAGTTTTAGGAACAGGTTGGACAAATTTGTCACTAAGGGCTGTAATTGATTTTGCCATGGAACAAAGCGGTGGATTAGGTGACTTCTTAAAGTTTCTTCTGATCCTAAATTTTCATAACATTACGCTTATTTAGGGAACTTGAAAGCTATAAATATATGTAAGCTGTTAATATCTTCATTCATTTAATTCTGACTTTGGTGTGCAAGGACAAAGTGACGTGAACTTACGTGTCGGTTCAGACCACAGGTCCATCTCCCACATTTAACCATGGGAGTGAGCCCCTAGGAAAAACCAGAACAGAGTAAGCACATACTGCCTCCCAGCCTTCAAACATTTTCAGGTCAGGTTATGTGATTTATCTAGTTAGTGGACTCCACAGCATCTCTTTCAAGGTTTTTTCCAGTCTATCTTTGCTGCTTTATAGACTCCTTGATCCAGAAGATCATTTGAGGAGCACGACCACAGGTCCTTATAGAAGTGTCTGAAGAACTGGTTCCTCTGGTTTATTCTGAATGAAGGTCTTACTAACTTCTTCCTATACCCTTTATGCCTGTATTACAAGAGACAGGGAAAAGTCAATCCCACTCCACTTTTCTCCAGACCTCTCAGTTCTGCAGACCTCTTCTTACCTTCCCACTATGTCATGTTTTTTTCCAAATAAGATTCTTGGATATTCAATGGATGGAGTACCTTGCATGTTGTAGTGGAAGTCGCAGTATACCTCTGATCATCCTTGTCATCCCTGAATAATTTCATTTCTGGTATGTCTTGTCCTAGATAAATGGACCAGAACCCTGGATTTTTACAGTAGCATATGGCTTTGAACAGTAAGTGTAATGATCCTGTTTTTTTCTATTTGCTTCTTAATCATTCCTAGCTAGTTTTTTTTTCTTGAACTAAGTGGTATTTTCATGGAACTGTCTACCATAACCCAAAGGTCTTGTTCCTGAAGATCTTTGAGCCAGCTTAGAAATGATCCAAGATGTGAAAATAGGATTATTCTTCCCCAAATATACCATTCTACAGTTATGTACACTGAGCTGCACCTGTTGGTTTTTTGTACAGTCAATCTTTCTGCAAGCTATGCAGTCTCCCTCATCTAACTACCTTGCATAACCTAGCAAAGCTTTGTCACCTCACTGATAACTTTCCTTCTCCAGGTAATTTAAGAATATAATGAATAGTATAGGTTCAAATTCCATATGGAATTTTGCTTTTGTTCTCCCTCCTGTGCAAGAACCAAGCATTCTCTTCCATCCAAGGATGGTTTACCTTATGTTCCCATCTTTTAAATCACATTCTCATCCACTTCAGTGCCTTCCTTCTTATGCCAGCATAAGACATTCTTGTGTTGCTTGGTTTTCCTAAAACATTTTGATTAAAAGTTCTGTCAGAAATCATCTGAAAATCCAAGTTGACTATATTAGATGATCCTCATTTATAAATCACTGACCCCTTCGAAGAACTCTGAGAGCTTTATTAACTTTCACTGATTAGATAGTATTTACTGAGGTAGATGATAATAATTCTTACAATATCTAGCCATTCACCTTAAACAGATCTCAATTTTAAGTTGCTGGACATCCTTGGAATTTTCTTAATGACTGACATCACATTTGACACCTTCTGATCTTCATGTGCTGAGGAATAGTGAAGAAACAGGTTACGTGCTGCTATTTCATTTCTGAGTTCTCTTAGAATTCATGGGTAAATCCTTCAGATCCTGGAGGCTCATCTGCATTCATCTGCCTTTTGTACCATTACCCCTTCCAGATATTTCAGAGACATTCTCTGCCAAGTTCCTTGAATACCCAAAAAAGTCTAGGAAAGGACAATCTCCTTGATTTCTTCTGCGTTGGATTTGCATGGAAAGGTTTTGGTAGAAGTGAGGGGGGGGCTACAGGGTGGCTTCTGTGAGAAGTTGCCAGAAGCATCCCCTGTGTCCGATGGTGCCAGTGCCCAGCCGGACCCAGGATGGAGCCACTGCTGGCCAAGGCTGAGCCCATCAGCAGTGGGGGTCATGCATCTAAGAAGGGGAAACAAAAACCCCTGCACAACTGCAGCCACAGAGAGGAGTGAAAATATGTGAGAAACAACTCTGCAGACACCAAGGTCAGTGAAGAAGGAGGGTGAGGAGGTGCTCCAGGTGCCAGAGCTGAGATTCCACTGCAGCCCATGGTGAGGCAGCTGTGCCTCTGCAGCCCATGGAGGTCCATGTGGGAGCAGAGATCCATCTGCAGCCTGTGGAGGACCCCACACTAGAGGTGGATGACTGAAGGGTGCTGTGACTCCATGAGAGTCCTGTGCTGGAGCAGGCTCCTGGCAGGACCTGTGACCCCAAGGAGAGAGGAGCCCTCACTGGAGCAGGTTTGCTGGCAGGACTTGTGACCCTGTGGGGGACTAATGCTGGAGCAGCCTGTTCCTGAAGGACTGCACCGTGTGGAAAGGGATCCACTCTGGAGCAGTCCATGAAGAACTGCAGCTGAAGGACTAACACTGGAGAAGTTCATGGACAGCTGTCTCCCATGGGAGGGACCCCATGCTGGAGTAGAAAACTCTCTGTGAGGAGTCATCCCCCTGAAGAGGAAGCAGCAGCAGAGACAATGTGTGACAAACTGACCACAAACCCTATTCCCCATTCCCCTGTGCTGCTGGAGGGTGAGAAGGTAGAGAATTCACAAGCTAAATTAAGCCCAGGAAGAAGGGAGGGGTGGGGAGATGTTTATAAGCTTTAGTTTTTATTTCTCACTACCATACTCTGATTTCATTGGCAATAACTCAAATTAATTTCTCCCCAAGTCAAGTCTGTTTTGCCCATGATTGTAATCGGTTTGTAATCTGTCCCTGTCTTTATTCCAGCTCATGAGCCTTTCCTTATATTTTCTCTCCCCTGTCCAGATGAGGAAGGGTGTAATAGGTTTGATGAGCCCCTAGTGTTCAGCCAGGGTCATGGAATCCCATCTTCCACAGTGAACAAAATATGCAAATGGTTCAGCTTCTCTCCATGACTCCATCCTCCCTAAGGGTTCATTTTATACCCTTGTCATATTCAGACTCAGTGACAATTTTTTTTCCCTCCTGATGTGTTGGAAGAAGAATATTGAATAATTTTTGATTCTTGCTAGTTAGGTCTCAGACTCATAATAATTATAATAGTAATTACATTTACTTGTAATTATACTAACATCTATCATTGTTTATGATACTTTTGATTTATTTTTTTCACTTGGATATGTCTTTAGCTTTTGGAAAAACACCTTCTTCTTTATTTCTCTTTGCTGTTTGGCCATGACCACTTAGTTCTATTTTCTCAGGCATGTTCAGCAAATCATGTGCATTGGCACTTTGCTTCCTATTTGGTGTCCTCCTGTAGTCTTCATACTGCCTTTATGGATTTAATTGTCCTGGGTGCCATTCTTTGTCTATTTTTGGGAGACTTTCTCATTTTTACATAGTTCTCCATGTTGAAATGAACACAACAGTGGTGTTCATTTTGACCTCTATCACTCCCCAAAGATATGGAATCCAAGGGTTTTATGTCATTCTTAAAGAGCAGTCTTAATGTTCAGCAAGATATACATGTATATATGGATATACATGCATATGTATGTGTGTATGTATAAATATATGTATTCATTATATATAATTGTGCAAATTGCAAGATAGGGCAGATGTGGCTGGCAAACAGAGAAGTAATTGTGAAAGGACTTCTGGTTTTCCTGGATATAGCCAGACATAATTGAGGGTTCATTTGTATCTGCTCTCATTTCTGGGTTTGCCTGAAATATCCACTGATAATAATTAGCATTTATTGCTTGTGGCTCTAAAACCTTCCTGAGCATCATTATTCCTCTTTGCAGAGCAATTATAAGCCACAGAGCAGTGAAGTGACAAAAGACAGTACCTGTGATTCTTCATTTCACTCTGCTAGCTATACTGGCATCTCCTTTATTTACTAGGAGCCACTAACTTTGTAAACAATTGGGGGCATTTCACATTGCTTCTTTCAAATTGCTATTATAATTATAGTTGATTTTACATGGCAAACTTGCCCAGATAAGGTGTTTACATCCTTATTTTCAGCATCTCTTTTGTTTGCATATAACAAATATTTGTGTTGGATCAGTTAACACAGCATGATTTTCATGCAACAGATACTTCAAGGTAACTTGCTAGTCTCTTAAGCATGTTTTGCATTTGATAGCTTAACAAGGCTTTCTGATTGAATGAGGTGATAGCAGACACAATACCCATATTGTTTGGGCTTTGAGCTCATCAGTGTTCCCGTGATTCATGTGGGACATATTCTAGAGAAATCCAGCACTGCAGACCAAGACTAAAGCACCATCTTTGCAGAAGTACATGATCTGCAAACAATACCCCATAAAATAGGAAATAAATAACAAAATTTTTAACTTTTCTATGGTATAGCATTAATGCCTTTATGTATAGATGTGTTTTTTACCTAATTCTTTTCCTGTGAGATGTGCAGTCATTTTCCACTTCACCTGTTTGACTCCCATTTCTCCTAATAACCCAGGCTTCTTATCCAGAACTCAATAAAAAAGTGTCATAGTTTTACAAGTCCCACTCAGAGGGAGAGAACCTGTCAGCATAATAATTTTGCATATTGGTCTATACTGATCCAGGGTCTCCACCCTTTTTTTCACAGTATCTTGCATATTGATATTTCAAGTTCTAGGTCAGTGCGCTGATCACAGTTTAATTTTGGAGGTAGGCTTATTTGCTTCACAAACCAACCAATTTTTCTTGCCAAGACCAGCAAATGTTAGAGTATAGGAAGGTAGTACCTTTCCATTACAGGTTTGGTGGAGTTTTTTTGAATCTGTGTTTCCTCTCTGGTAAAGGAAACACATACTGCCTCAGCTAGAATGGCACCAGAAGCTTGATGCCTTTTTTCTCTGAATTGACTGCTATTGCTAATTTTGAGTTAGAGCAGACTTCAATTCCATAAAGAAGACAAAGCTGAATTGTACACTACCCAGTTGGAAATATTTATCATCCCTTCCAGTATTCTCACACACTAGATGTAATTTTTGTTGGTGGGGTTTCCTTGGTGTTTAATATGTTCTTCAATTTGTATGGCAGTGTCACACCACTCAGTTGCTGTACAGACTAGGTACCTTTATGTGCATAAGGGCATCTTATGATCCACCAAAATTAATCAAGTTGCATATTGTATTTATGAAAGCATCTAACTTTGTGCAGATAGGAAAAAAACAAGAGACCTCAAGATTATAGAGTATCATTCCATAAAGAGCAAAGAGACTGACTTGGCAGAGTTAATTATTATTCAGCTGTCCATGTCATTTTGTTACTAAAGGAAGAGTCCAGTAGAATGTATACTAGCTCTATAGACCTATTTATTTGCACATCATAATTTTATAGCAGAGACACTGAGAAGCCAAAAACTGGATACACGGTTTCCTGATTTTTCTGTCTTATGACTCAGAAAGAGATCTGTCACCTCTCCCACATTGCCTGGTCCAGTAACTACACTAGAGTTTCACTTCCAAGACACAGTAATAATAGAAGTGTGGTACTCTACCTATATTTAAAATTCTCTCACAGTCCTCGCTAATGTACAGATTCTTTGCTGTGCTGAATCAGCATCACTGAAACCAATCTCTCCCCTTAATCACTGACAGAAAGCAGTGCCTTCGCAAGGGCAGAGTCAACAAAGAACAGGATTAGGGTAGACTGACAGTAGCTGTATCAACTCCTATACGATCGTTTTGAAATTATCTAAAATCACTAACCTTTCACTTCTGGAGCATGAGGTTCAATTCTGCAGTTAGCCATGCATGAAAATGAGTTCAGCAATCTTGGTTTAGCCTCCACAGAATCATTCATGTAATTTCCCATGACTGACAGATTTTGCTGTAGAGAAAGAGTGAATATGAATTAGAAAATAAAAGCGAGGTTCTGTCAGGTTGAAAAAAATCAAACCTCAATGAATCTGAATGTCAGAATCACGGAAAGCAAATTCAGATCTGAAAGGCTGGGCCTTCGTGCAACCCTTGCGTGGACAGAATGAAAAATGGAATAGGAGGCAGGATCCACTGTAAGCACAAGGCAGCATTCATCACGGCATCAATGGAGCGGTCACGGAAACGGTTCTGTGAGTAGCATGGTTGCACACTGATGGGCTACTCCTGAACTCTATCCCTCAAAATGCAGGGTGTCTTCTTATGTACCAGATGAGCTCTCAGCACTGCCCACTTGAGTACAGCAGGCAGTTCTGTGTCCCAAACACACCCTGCATTTTGCAAAGGCCAGCAGCCTTGCCTCACCTGCAATTCCAGCGTGCTGCTTGGAACCAAAAAGTTAACAGTCTGTTCCTGTGACAGTGATGAAGGCTGTGAGTCCTTCTTTTTCACAAGGCAGCATACCCTGAACAATAAAGAAACACAAATGTAAACCTAAAAATACATGCGAAAGAGAAGAAATTAGGAAAGGCTTAAGAGAGATGTGAAGAATGGCAACCCTTCATCTGTCATAATCCTGTTGTCTGTTGCTTTGGGTGACTAACATGAACATCCCATACAAAATGAACCCACGTGACAATCACTGAACTACCTCAGTAAGGACAGTGGACAGTCTTTTAACTCAGGCCATATATACAACTTCTCTGTGATTTGCCTTTTCTCCTTATGTATAGTTTTTTTTCTTTGACAAACACTAAACTTTGCATAGCTAGAATTCTTTGAAAGTAACCGCACGAAAATGCACTGTCATTTCAAGGTTTAAATGGAACGGATGAAACATAGTATCTTTCATCCTGTGACACAAATCAAGACACCTGCCTGATGCAGATGGCTCTTATACACACTTCCAAGAAGGAACCACAACCTTAACATTTGTTTAAACAACATCTGCCTCGAAAGGACACGGATTCTGACTGGAGCACCGTGCATTTCTGTGGTGTAAATACTGTAAAACTCACCTATACCTTTCACTCACTGCTCTGTCTAAAAATAAAGAGCCAAGGTGAAAAAAAGAGAGAAACAGGAGGTTGACTGGTTTAACATAAATATAAGCTCAACTCTTTCTGTAAGATTTAACTGATTTACTTTAATAAAAAGAGTAACAGACATAAAGAAAGGGGATGTCCAAAGCACCCATCGCCTCTGCAACTCTTCAGATTATATTTAACACTCCTCAGTTATCCTGTTATTAAAATATCCTGTTATTTATTTGGGGAATCCTCCAAATAAAACTCTAGCAAATCTAACAATCTTTGCTACTCAGCAAAGAAACTGCTTCTGTTTCCATCCAAAACCTTGCATGAAATCTTGTTGGTTTCACAGTATAATTCTATCTGTCGTATACCTCATTTATTGTACAACAACCTCCCTCCTTGCACAGTGATGTTTAAATCACTAATAAAGACATTCCAAGCTACGATATGTTGTAGAAAATTTTTCTTTATTTTTTTCCTTCCTCTTGGGTGTGTCCAAGACTTTAGAGTTAGGCTAGTGTTAGTGTATTTTTCCTCTCTGGGTTCTTTGACAATGTGGTCTGCCACTACCACCAGAAAGAAAATGCCCTGTCACACTCCTATGATGTAAAATGAAGATAGTCTTTTAGCTCACCTCTTGTTTTGTCAATGCTTCACTTTGGGAAGTACAATTCTACAAAAACAACAACAACAACCAACCAAACAAACCCCAAACCCCACAAATAAACAAACAAACAAATGAAAACAGAGAAAAATAATGGCAGAAAAATCTAATTTAACCATCCTTTGGCTAAATTCAGCCAGCACGTTAGAACCTAATCCACCATAGTCTTATTTAAGAATGGGTGGCTGAAAGGTGCTGCAGGATTTATAAAAAGAAAACAGATTGTCTCTGAGGCTGATGCCAAGTAACTCATTGCCGGAGTTATCACTCTTCAATCAAAAAGTATATCAAGAAACTACATAAGTCATTTAGACAGCAATCACCATGGAGTTATGCTGGCCTCTCATGTCAGTGATGAAACAGCCAAGTTCCCTGACAGCGGTGAGTTATTCCTTTTATCACTGGCAGAACTGCCTAAAGAATCATCAAGGCTACAGGCATGGAAAACGTGAGGCCTCTCCACATTTAAGTGATAAAAATACAACGTGTTTTATTACTTTATTTTAATCTTTATAATTTACATTTTGTAAAAAACCTCCACAATGTCAACCATAGTTAAGCAGCAATGGGATTACTCTAAACTCAGTATTTAATTTCTGCAAGGAAGCTTTCTTCCAGACCATGATCTCTGGGATTCCATTCCCACCTCCATCTGCCCCCAGTCTCGCTCATAACTGAAGACATATCTTTCAGCCCTGACAAAGCCAGTGTAAAGTATTGACTGTTTTATTACAAATTGTAATTCAGTCACTTTGGAGGTGGATTTTCTTTCTGTAGTAATGACTTAGTGTAGGAAGCTGGTAATTTTTTGTTGCACTTTAACATTGCAAGAGAGGTCGCATACTGTAAGTGAGAGAATAGGTGTTTAGAAATATTTCTCTGCCTGCCATGATTGCCTTTAAAAATCCTAAAGAAAGTAAAAATATATTAGTTTTCTTGTAAAATTTTAAATACTTGTTTCAAAAACCTAGCGGGAGCTGAAGAAAAGCAAGTTTTCTGGGCCTGATTTCAACTCGAGCAGAATTTCAGTTAATAGTGTAGCACATATAAACCCTCTTTTAACAGCCCATAATATTAAACTGAAGACAGAATTGCTAAAGAACTTTGTTAATTTTACTCCCTATTAAATCAGTGTTACAGACTTTCAGCAGATGTCTTTAACAGACACTGGTATTAAAAGAAGTATTACACAAAATAAATTCAGACCATTTCCTCAGTATTACTTACTCCCACCATTAAGAGTAGAATTTCTCCTGTATCTTCAAATTATTACATTAATGCCTAATGCAAAGAAACAATAATTCATCTCCAGACACTATAAACCTCTGTCAGTATCCATACTATTCCTGTATTTAAAAAACTGCCATTGCTTCCATTTACAGTAACTCCCCATTTCTACAGGTTTAAAAGCTGGTCTTAAGAATGTATTCTACTAGAAGTTTCAGCCCATGGCCATTCTATTTTTAAGTTGGGAAAAAAATCCATCTGCTTTTTAAGCTCTTGGGTGCCAAAGAGCTTTTGTAGTGTCAGGTATCTTTCTGAGCAATGTATCAACTAATAAATGTACCTTTGCATTTTTGACCGTCTGGGAAATGTTATTAAATATAATAATTTTTTCATGGCAAAAACTCCACCACAGATGATGTCTCTGGGTCAAATTGTCTATAACACTAAATTCCTGAGATAAGTACCTAAGTCACAGTTATGCATCTGCCATAGAATAAGCTCTGTTGCTCTGACATACAGTTCTCTGTCTCCAACAACAAGGCTATTTACTCACCTATGTAAACACAGATTTATGAGCTACAGATCTGTATTTCCCTCCCATTTGTACAGGTAACCTGACAATATATAAACTGCAAGAGTTTTCCTAAGTCTTGACCAAATCTTGTCCTCATATTGACATCAGCCTTCTCTCTCTCCAGACTGTTTTCCACAGGAACCTAATGCATGATGAGATGGGAATAGCAACAAGTTCTTGGTCTGGGTAAGTAGGAGGCAGAATCAAGGACAACCTTAAGAAACATCTGGAGACACAATTGGCTTTGGAGTTAGAATTCTCTGGAGTAATTCTATTGAAAGCTGTGAGGTTATTCTTACTTATTTTTTTAATGTATGTAGAAATACGTATATTTAAACCAAATAAATTAAAGTAGAGTTTAGTCCATCAGCAGTACATAATACTCTTTCTTAAATATCTACTGTAAGAGTGAGAGAAAGAAAGAAGCAATAGCATAATAGTTAGGCACTAGTTTGGTTAAATCTACCTCCCCATCACAGGTCTCTAAATGCTCAACTCATGACTCTACACCTATATCAACAAGAGACCTGTATGGCTTTCAAACAGGCAAGTGCAGCTGAGAAGCCTGTCCAAAGCACCTCAGTTTTAATATCCTCTGGTGGTAAAAGAGCCATAGTAACCTTGAGCTGTCTCCCACACTCAAGATAGCTGTACCTGCCTAGCTACATGTAGGATCCACACACAGCACAGACATTGTTTGAAAGAACTGCTGATGTCATTAGGCAACCCCTAACTAATCAGACACTTTGTGATGTTAAGATAACTCACCCAGATGGCCCCAAGAAGGGTCTACATCTGAGAAACAGAATGAAAGGAATAAAAAAACCACAAACAACACAAGTCACAATTCTGCTGCACCCTCAAATCTAATCTGGCACAGCACACCTTTTCTCTATGCACCTTGGCTGCTTCATCTGTTAAAAATAGTTGCCCGAAGGGATCAAAACTTAGAAAGATGCAACCACAGATCAGGGATTTGATGACTGACTCTGACATCTGAGAATAGCTCTGAGTAAGCTGCTGCTTTTCTATCAAGAGTGGGATCAATTTTTCCCCCTCTAGGTATACACATTTCATAGCAATATGTTCTGTTGATATTTAGGATTCACTGGTCACTTCCACTACAAATGTTTTTTCCCCGAGAATTATAACCAGAGCTTTTGTTACAATGTCCAGTTCCAGACAAAATTTGCCTCATTTTGGGTTTCATTGCAAAACTGGCACTATAAGCCACCTTCACAGATATTTTTGCAATTCTTTTGGCAATCTTGAGGCAATTACTAGGTGATGTTAAAACAGTACATATCTTAAGGTCAAGAGTCAGCAAAAACTCTCAACTACAAATTGGTTTGGTTGTTTAAAAATCAAAAAATAAGGAATCCTCTGCACTCAAAGCAGAATCAGCACTGAGTGGAGGGTTGAATCCAATGATTGAAACCAAAGCAAATGTTTGT